ATTGAGTTTTTGGGGAAATGACGAAGATGATTGATAGGGGTAGGACAGTGGATGTTGTCTATATGGACTTTACTAAAGCATTTGACAAGGACCCTCATGGTAAGCTGGTCCAGAAGATTAAGTCACATGATATCCACTGTGAGTTGATAATTTGAAATCAAAATTGGCTTGGTCATAGAAGACAGAAGGTAGTTGTGGAGGAGTGTCTTTTTGACTGGAGATCTGAGACAAGTGATGTTCTGCAATGATCAGGGTTGGGACTTCTGCTGTTTGTAATATATATAAATGATTTGGATGAAAATGTAGGTATTCTTATTAGTAAATTTGCAGACGACACAGAAATCTGTGGAATTGTGGGTTATGAGGAAAGTTGCCAAAGGATACATCAGGACATAGGTCAGCTAGAAAGCTGGGTGGAGAAAAGGCAGATGACATTTAATCTAGACAAGTATGAGCTGGTGTATTTTGGAAGGTCAAATGCAAGAGGGAAATCTACCTTAAATGGCAGGACTCTTAGCAGCATTGATATACAGAGGGATCTTGGGGTGCAACTCCCTTAAGGTGGCAACACAGGTGGATAAGCTGGTAAATAAAGCATGTTTGCCTTCATTGGTGGGTTCTCAAGTATAAATGTTGCGAAGTCATGTTGCAGTTTTATAAAACTTCAGTTAGGCAACATTTGGAATATGTTGCGCAGGTCTGATCATATGCTATAGGAATGATGTGGAGGCTTTGGGGAGGGTGCAAAAGAACTTAACCAGGATGTTGCATGGATTGGAGTGTATTAACTATAAGGAGAGGTAGGACAAACTTGGATTGTTTTGCCAAAGCAGGGGCTGAGGGGTAACCTGATAGAAGTATATCAAATTATGAGAGGCATGGATAGTGTGGATAGTCGGATACTTTCTTCCAGGGTGGAAATATCACATACTAGGGAGCATAGATTTAAAGTGAGAGGCAGAAAGTTTAAAGGAGATGTGCAAGGCAAGCCTTTTACACAAAGGATGGTAGGTACCTGGAATACGCTGCTAGGAGAGGTGGTAGAAGCAGATATGATTGCAACATTTAAGAACCATTTAAATAAACACATGAACAGGCATGAAACAGGGGGATACGGACAATGTGCAGCCAGATGGATTAGTTTAGAATGGCATTGTGGTCAGCACAGACACAGTGGGCCAAAGGGCCTGTTCCTGTTCTGTTCTGTTCTATGTTCAGATTTGCTTATTCCATGTGACAGCAGATATCTGGTTTTTCCAATTGAAGTTGTGGTCAAGTCCCTTGTTGCAAAGGTATAATCTGTAGGTGAAGGAAAAAAACCCCTTCTATGTCTGTCATAAAACATTAGACAGAGCCCTGTCCCCATTCCAGACCTTGTCCCTGCTATGTCCCCTGGAAGCAATCCCCTATGCCCCCACCACTGGAACTGATCCGCTACCCCCTTACTTTTCATGCCATCAGACCCACACTGCCTGCTATGCTGTCTGACCCGATCCTCCTTCCTTCACTGTGGAACACTGTGCTTCTCCCACTTTGCCTCTTTCCCCCCTTACCATTGGATCCAACTCTCATTCCCTGATGGACCTAAACACCCTCTGCACCCTGTAAGCCAGCTGGATAGCGAAGTGTGACGGAGATTACAAATGGAGGTTGAATACAATACTGCTGCTTCAAATGGCCAACTCACTTGTATCTAATTTTACTTTATGAGACCTGGCCTGAAAATATTCTATTCACCCTGATGGCAGAAGCTCTTTTATTTCATGCAGCATTACATTCAACTGTGTTCTCATCATTCCTGTAATCCTAGTGAGTTTGCACTGGGTTGTCGAATGCAGCAACCATCAGTTAGAAGTCTGGAAAATGGGGTAGAAACTGGTGCCATAGAACCCCTCCCATGATCCCATTTGGAGGCTTCCTCAATATACCTTAGAGTCTCTCTGTGCAGTGGGGGCCTGTCCCAACCCTAGTGAAACATAATTGGCCACTTAATTAAATGATTTGCCCTTTCATCTCTGTTCCCCTTTTGGGAATATGCAGTGGTGGTGGGAAACATCCAGTTCTTTTTTTCCCTGATGTCTTAAATTTTATGTTATAAACCCCTCCCCTCCCCCAGCCTCTCCCTGCAGAGCTGGTAAAACTCCTGCTGTTGATGTTGCTGTGCGGATTGCTTCAAATGTTATGGCTGGGAGACTAAACATTGCCCAGGGTATCAAGGAAAATCTCTGCAGTTCAAGTATTCTCAAGGATTGGTTATGTCACTGAGGCACACAGCTGGGGCTTCGATTTTATGTCCCATCTGAGCAATGACAGCATTTGCTCAGTACTACACTTAAGTGTCACAATAAATTATGTGCTACAAAGCTTTACATGGCATTCCAAACCACCACCTCCAAACACAGACTGTAAAAGGCTATTAGCTCATCAACTGGACAGTGAAAACGTGGCTCTTACCAAACAGTAATGCAGGTTAACAACTCTGCAGGATTCAGACACATGACAAGGTAGCTTTAAAAGGATAGCGACAACTGTTCCTTATGAAGGACATAACACAAGGTACAAAACCTTCCAGGCACGCACCCTGAAGAACAATAAAGCTGCAGCACCTCCAATAAGCAATAGTACAAGTTCAATTTTCAATGCTACCATAAAATGTTCAAAAGTATTTAATCAAAATACAGACTAATTTCTGTACCAAAGGAGAAAAGCATGTGAAATAACTGCACCAAGGACGGTATCCTATTACCAAGTCACCCGTTACTTATTTGTGCACAGTACTCTGGCTGTGGCCAGCTAGATCGGAATCAGTCCCTTGAACTGAGGAGATTCTAAATCCCCTATTTCGTATTTTTTTTCCTGGTTATACTCTTTCTATTAAACTTTACAAAAATACAAACCAAAAACAAGGTAACAGTCAACAAAGCAAACAACAATTTACGGGGAAGTGGGGATGGTAACCGAAGCCCAAATCCCACCATAACTTGCCATAAGAGAAAACTTACATGTAAAAAGTACATACAAACAATATAAAAGCAATACATACAACACTAACACTCCTGGCAAACCAGCAATCAGCCGACCCTCACTCGCCTTCCGACCACCTTTTAGGACAGCCTGCCCCAACACAGCTTCCGGTTTTCGGCCCGCTCCTACACAACTTCCAGCTCCTAGCCCGACCCTACTCACCTTCTGGTCATGTGGTGTCATCCTGATCCTTGACTCATCAACAAACTCTTGTGGAAAGGGATAAGGGTTGTGCAGAAGTTAAGTGTCTAAATTGGGGGAAGTCCAATTTCAATATCATTCAACAGGATCCGGCAAAAATAGACTAGGAGCAGCTACTTGCAGTTAAATCTATGTTTGGAAAGTGGGAGTCTCTTAAAAGTTGTGTAGTGAGAATTCAGGGCCTGCGTGATTCTTTAAGAGTGAAAGGCAAGGGCAGCAAGTTCAAGGAACCCTGGATGTCAAGGGATATTGAGAATTTGGTAAAGGAAAAGAAGCATATGTCAGGTACAGTGCATTAAAAACTGCGGAGGCCCTTCACAAATATAGAGGACATTAAGCGAGCAAAGAGAAACCACAAATTATCTTTGGCAGATGAGATCAAGGAAAACCCAAAGAATTCTTATAAACATATTAAAAGTAAGAGAATTACCAGGGAAAGGGTGGGAACTATCAGAGGCTGAAAGGTCAAGCTTTGTGTGGAGCCAGTGGACAAGAGTGAGGTCTTAAATGAATACTTCTTGTCTGTATTCATGGAGGAGAAAGACATTGTAGCTGAGGATATCAATTGGGAAGGTTCTAGAAAACATTAAGATTAATAGGGAGGAGATACTAGATAATTTAATGGACATAGAGGTGCATAAATCCCTGAAACATGATGAGATGTTTCTCAGGCTGCTATAGGAGGAAAGGGAGGAGATTGCTGGGGCCCTGGTGGAGATGTTTAACAATTCAGTGGCCTCAGAAGAAGTGCTAGATGCCTGGAGGATGGCTAATGTGGTTCCTTTGGTGAACAAGAGCAGCAGGAAAAGATTAGGTAATTACAGAGCAGTTAGTCTGATATCTATGATAGGGAAATTATTGGATAAAAGTTCTGAAGAACAGGATTAAAAAATTCTTGAAAAGACGGTAATTGATCAGAGATCGTCAGCGCAGATTTGTTACAGGGTAATTCATTTAGTTGAGTTTTTTTTTGAAAAGGTGACTAAATATGATATTATGGGTAATGCAGTTGATGCAGCTTACATGGACTTTAGTAAGGCTTTTGATAAGATGCCATTTGGAAGGCTACTCTAAAAGATAAGATCCCATGGTATGCAAGGCAAGCTGGAAAAGTGTATCCAAAATTAGCATACAAAAAGGAGTCGAAGGGTGATGGTTTTTGTGATTGAAACTCTATGACCAGTGGTGTACCACAGATTTGTTGCTGGGACCCTTGTTGCTTTTTACATGCAATAATGACTTAGATATGAATGTAGAAGGTATAACTAGTAAAATTTGCAGATTACATAAAAATTGGTAATATTGCTGATAGCTAAAAGGATGGTCTTAGGCTACAGTCTGATATTGATCAGTTGTTAAATTGGGACAAACATTGGCAGATGGAATTTATTCCTGTTAAGTGTGAAGTGATGCATTGTAGGAGTTCTAATAAATGGAAAGATATATACCATATATCATAGGTCCATAGGAAGTACTGAGTAACAAAGGCACCTTGGTGTACAAGTCCATAAATTTCTGAAGAGCTCAGCATAGGGAGACAGAGTGATGAAGAAGGCACACAGGATGCTTGCTTTCATTATCTGGGGTGTAGAGTATAGGAGTAAGGAAATCTTGTTATTACTTTTTAAAACATTAGTTAGGTCACAGATGGAATACTCTGTCAAAAGCACAACAGCACCCATATGGGAAATAGGCCCCTAGCCTTAAGACGGCAATAAGAATCAGAAGTGAAAGTCAGGATCTGACCATGGGGATTGGGCCCTTGGCTTTCAAACTTACAGAATCAGAGTTCTGAGGTTCAGCTGTAAAAGGAAGGGAACTGAAAAAGAATCACAATCACAAGGAGGCATTGACAATGGCCAAGAAAATATCTTTCTTATTGTTTTAATCAAAGCTGAGGTTTTCAGACAACATTTGTCAAAGACTGCAAAGCATTCATTGCCTGGTTTGACAAGTCATATGTTATGTTGTCTAGGATTGTGAATGAAAGGTATTTATTGATATAACAGTTTCAATATATTGGAGAAAAATAAATGCACAAATCTAGTGTGGCATCAAGATTGGACAGAATCTTATCAATCATGCAGAGACAGCTTTTAAAAATGAAAGAGTTGGACTTATAGAGCACTTGGCATGACTGGACATCACAAAATGTTTGTAGTTAATTACGTGCCTTTGAAGGTTGATGACAGGCAACTTGCAGGGAATTTGTAATGTTGATTTGTTCCTAACTCGAAGCAGTTTTGCTCGAATCTGACTGGCATCCACCTGAATGGCAACAACAGTAGCTAATTATGAGCAATTAAGTGCCCACTTGAGGGCAAATTGGTGACAGTGCTGGGATTTCCGAACATTGGGTGAGCCCCCATGCAAATTCGGAAACCCATCAGGTACCAGGAGGCAGCAGCCAGTATCAGGCTGGCATTAGTGAATGCTCCTTTAATTTTACTCCCTTCCCCTGTAGCTGCGAGCACCAGAAGGTCATTGCTGTAGGATACCTCCATCTTGAGGTGTCACCTCCTGCATTGGCAGTGCCCACTGCCCCAAGTGGGACCCTGGCCACATATATCTTTGGGCATTCTGACTGATCCTGTCAGCTGTGCAGGTCACCCACTGCCATTAATTGGAAGGGGCTCCCAGAAGAATCCTGTAAACTGTCCAGTTCCCAGAAGATCATGCAGACGGTACAACTTGGAGACCATCAGATCCAGGAGCCATATGTGGTCCCGTTTAAAAACAATACTGAGAAGATTCCATACTCTAAATCTAATGCACATAAGCAGATCGTTTGGCCCATTTATGATGCTCATGAGCTACTGGACTAACTTGGAGGCTTTTGCTGACCACTAGAGCAAGAAAGAACATGGCTGGTATAGTTTTGTAAATAACAATGACAGTGGTATTTGCTTATGAGCAGAACATACAAAGGAGCAGGCAGAGAGGGAAAGATCTGAGAGTGCTAACATTATATTTGCCTGCCTAACTGCCAACTGAACCTGCATGTCAACTTTAAGAGAACCCTGAACTAGGACTCCTAAGTTCCTTTGAGCTTCAGATTTTGAAAGCCTTTCCCCACTTAGAAAATAGTCTACGTCTCTATTCTTCCTACCAAAGTGCATAACCTCACACTTTGTCACATTGTATTCCATTTGCTACTTTTTTGCCCACTCTGTTAACTTGTCCAAGTCCTTCTGCATCCTCCCGCTTCCTCAACAGTACCTGTCCCTCCCCCTATCTTTGTGTCATCTGCAAACTTAGCAACAATGCCCTATGTTCCTCCATCGGGATCATTAAGACATAAAGTGAATAGTTGTGGTCCCAATACCAACGCCTGCTGATCTCCACTTGTCACCAGTTGCCATCCAGCAAAAGACCCCTTTATCCCCACTCTCTGCTTTCTGCCATTCGGCCTATCCTCTCACCATGCCAGTGCTTTGCCCCTAGCACCATGGGCCGTTATCTTATTGTGCAGCCTCGGTGTGGCACCTAGTCAATGGTCCTCTGGAAATCCAAATAGATCATGTCCACTGGCTCTCCTCTGTCTAATTTGCTCATTACCACCTCAAAGAATTCCAACAGATTTGCCAGGCATGATGTCCCCTTGATGAAGCTGCTCTGACTCAGCCCTATTTTACCATGCATTTCCAAGTACTCCACAATCTCATCCTTAATAATGGACTCTAAAATCTTACCTACGATCAAGATCAGGCTAACTGGCCTATAGTTTCCTGTTTTCTGCCTTCCTCCCTTCCTAAACAAGGGTGTTATGTTAGCCAATTTTCAATCCTTTGCGATCCTCCCTGACTCCAGGATTTACTAAAAGATCACCAACAATGGTTCCACAATCTCCTCAATTATCTCCTTCAGAACTTTACTCCATCTGGTCTGGGTGATTTATTCACCTTCAGACCATTGAGCTTGCCCGGCACTTTCTCCTAGTGATGGCCACAACACTCACCCCTGTCCCTGACTCTCTTGATGTTCTGACATGCTGCTGGTGTCTTCCACTTTGAAAACTGATGGAAAGCACCCAATCGGTTCCTCTGATATTTCTTTGTTCCCTATTACTACTTCTCCAGCCTCATTTTCCAGTGGTCCAATGTCACTCTTGCCTCTCCCGTACCTTTTAGATACCTAAAAAAAACTCTTGCAGTCTTCTTCCACATTGCTAGCTACATTACTGTCAAATTTCATCTTCTACCCCCTTTTTGCTCTTTTAGTTATCCTCTTCTTGTTTTTAAAAGCTTCCCAGTCCTCTGGCTTCCCACTAATCTTCACCACATTGTATGTTTTTTATTTTGCTGTTATGCTGTGCCTGATTTCCCGTGTCAGCTGTGGTTTCCGCATCTTCGCGTGAGTATGTTTCTTCTTCCTTGGAATGATTTTCTGCTGTGCCTACAAATCAAACCCAAAAACTCCAGCCATTGCTGCTGCACTATCTTCCCTTCTAGGCTCCCCTGGCCAGCTCTTCCTTCATGTCTTTATCTTTACTCAATTGTAGTACTGTTACATCTGATTCAATTTTATCCCTTTCAAACTTCAGGGTAAATTCTATCATATGGTGGTCATTGCCCCTTAGGGGTTCCTTCCCCTTTAGCTCCCTAATCAAGTCTGCCTCATTACACACCACGAAATCCAGAACTGCCTATTCCCTCATGGGCTTGACCACAAATTGCTCAAAAAAAAGTCACGTAGATGTTCCACAAATTCTGTTTCTTGGGATTCACTCCTGACTTGATTTACCCAGTCCACCAGCGTATTGAAGTCCCCCATGATTTTTGTGTCTTTCTTACATACCTTTTCCATCTCCTGATTTGATTTCTTCCCCCCATCCTGACTACTGTCAGCAGGCTTGTACACAACTCCAATCAGTGTCATTTCTCTTGTCTGGTTCCTCAACTCTACCGACACAGATTCTACATCTTCTGACTTTATATTACTTCTCGCTATCAATTTCATTTAATTTCTTATGCTCCCTCTGACCATCTGCCTGTTCTCTTGATAGGATATGTATCCTTTGATATTCAGTTCCCAGCCCTGATCCCCTTGCAGCCACATCTCTGTGATAGCCACAACATCATACCCACCAATTTCAATCTGTGCTACAAGCTCATTTACCTTGTTTTGTGTGTTGTGTGCATTTCAGTACAACACCTTCAGTCCTGCATTGACTGCCCTCCTTCTCATAGTAGTTGCTTATCTGCTGTGCCTAAAGTTGAAGTATGATTCAGGTGGAGCCCATCCCATCAGAATAGCTCCCTCCTTCCCAGTACTGATGCGAATATCACATGATTTCAAACCCATTTCTCCCAAACCAATCTTTCAGTCATGTGCTTACATCTTTAAGCTTGTTGACCCTGTGCCAATTTGCTCATGGCTCAGATAGTAATCTGGAGATTATTACCTTTTTGGCTCTGCTTTTTAATTTAGCTTCTAGTTGTTCATATTCATTCAGCAGAACCTCTTTCCTCTTTCTACCTATATTGTTGGAACCTACGTGTACCACACCAACTGGATCTTTCCCCTCCCACTCCAAGTTCCTCTGCAGCTCAGATGAGATATCCTGAATCCAGGCACCAGGCAGGCAACACAGCCTTTGGGACTCTCAATCCTGGCCACACAGAACAGTGTCTATTCCCCTGACTACACTATCCCTGATTACAACTACATTTCTCTTTTCTCCCGCCTCTTGAATGACTCCCTATGCCATGGTGCTATGGTCAGTTTGCTCATCCTCCCTACAGACTCACTCTCATCCACACAGGGAGCAATAATCTCAAACCTGTTAGACAAGCTTAAGGGTGAGTGTCCTTCAGCAGTACCTCCTGGATCCCTCTACATGCCCCGCTGGTGGTCACATCCTCCTGTTCCTGACGAGTGACCAAATTCGAGGTAGTTAATCTAACGGGTATGACTGCCTCCTGAAACACCGGCCAGGTAATTCTCCCACTTCCTGATGTGTGATGTGGAGATGCCGGTGTTGGACTAGGGTGGACAAAGTCAAAAGTCACACAACACCAGGTCATGGCATCCACCTGATGACAGAGCAGTACTCTGAAAGCCTGTGATTTTAAATAATCCTGTTGGACTATAACCTGGTGTTGTGTGGCTTTTGATTTTGGCCCTGATGTGTCACACTGTTTGAAGCTCAGATTTCAGCAAATTCTGAGCTGGAGTTCCTCAGGCAACCAACACCAACAGGACAGATGTGGTCACTGTGAACCACAATGGGGTCCACCAACTCCCACATCATGCAGATATAACACATCGCCTAACCCAGCATGTCTATTTTAATTACTTAGTTCTTAATTTTAATTTTAAAACTTTTATATTTGTCTTTTAGTTTGTAGCCTGTAAATATTTCCCCCACCTACCTTTAATCTGAAAGTAATCTATAATAGATCATCAAATTAGTAGTTATGAGCTATCAACAAACTTACAGTTTTCCTGTGATGTTTTGTGCTGGGCCCTTAATCCTGACCTTCAATTTGTCCAGTTAATAAAATAAACCTTACAAACTATGAGCCAAAAAGAAACAAGAAAAAGGCACCTCTTTTCCCCTCTGCATTGAATTCCCATGTTGCCCCCAAATTTCCCAAACTATATAGTTACTGAGGCATGTTTTACTCTGGATGTGACCTCTCCTTCCTCATCATACAAAGCTTTAATAATTACATGCTAAATATTACTATCATGTTTTATGTTGTTTTGGTTTGGTTGGCATCTGGGATTGCGTTAATTTTCACGGGTTAAAACTGTTGCCTCACTTGGTTCGAGGTAACTGTCTCGGGTAATTGTCTTCAGGTAACTGTCTGTGTGGAGTTTGCACATTCTCCCCATTCTGCGTGGGTTTCCTCTGGGCGCTTCAGTTTCCTCTCACAGTCCAAAGATGCGCAGGTTAGATGGATTGGCTGTTCTAAATTGCACATAATGTCTAGAAATGTGCAGTCTCGATAGATTAGTCATGGGAAATGCAGGGTTACAGGGACAGGGTGGACCCATTGGTCAGGGCGGAATGCTCTTTGGAGGGTCAGAGTGGACTCGATGGTCCAAACAGCCTGCTTCCACACTGTAGGGATTTTCTATGATCTATGAAATTGGAATCCTATTGGGAAATAATTTGAGGAAGCATTCATCTGGAGTAAACTTCATGAAAGGGTAGAACTACATTCGTATACAGTGTGAAGCTGTTTGGCCTGATTTCATTGCTTATAACTGTAGCATATATATCCATTTATATACACACACATATATTACATGAGTTTTTT